AAGTTTCATTGAAATCCAATGAGTGGTTTTTAGACATAGAACAGCAAAAAATTAACTAGTTATGCAAATTAGGTAATTAATAGGCACAATTATTAATCAGGTCTCTGCATAGTCCTAGAATATCTATGTCGCAAGTCTCATTGAAATGTGATGATTAGTACTTGAGATATCAGGTGAAAAGCTGAAAATTAACTAATTATGCTAATAAGGTGATTAATATGCACAAATATTTACCCAAAAACTAATTAGGTCTCTGCACAGTCCTCAAGTAACTATGTACCAAGTTTTATTGAAACGTGATCATTACTACTCTAAATATCAAAAGCTGAAAATTAATTAATTATGCAAATTAGGTAATTAATATGTACTGATATTACCCTAAAAACTATCAGGTCTGTGCAGTGTCATATTGACACCTATGTACCAAGTTTTATTGAAATGTTATGATTAGTACTTGAGATATCAGTGGAAAAGCCGAAAATTGATTAATCATCATGTAAGTTAGGTAATTAAAATTAACAGATTTTTACCCAAAACTAATCAAATCTGCGCATTAGTTCAGAGCATCCATGTGCCAAGTTTCATTGAAATCTAATGAGTGGTTCTTAAAAAATCAGTGTTACAGTCTTGGAACAGCTAAAAATCAGCTAATTATCATGCAAATTAGGTAATTAATATTCATAGATTTTTACCCAAAACTAATCAAATCTGAGCACTAGTACAGAGCACCCATCAAAATCCAATGAGTGGTTCTTCAGATATCAGTGTTACAGTCTTGGAACAGCTAAAAATCAGCTAATTATGCAAATTAGGTAATTAATATTCATAGATTTTTACCAAAACCTAACTAACTGCGCATTATCCCAGAGCATATATGTACCAAGTTTCACCAAAATTTGATTAGTGGTTCTTGAGATAACTGTGGAACAAAAAAGTGACATACATACAGACATACATACATGTACAGACAGGGCAACTGCAAAGACTCCCTTTTGTGCTTCACACACGGGAGTCAAAAATTCAAGCATTTTACAAAACAGAAAATTTCAAAAAAATTGAAAATTACTATCAAAAAAGTATTCCTGTTTGATGATGCAATAATGATTTGCTATAGTAAAACTAGTAGTGAATCAAGTTATTTAATTCTGGACATACCAAGCCCCTTATGAAGTTTGGAAAGTACAAAATTTCATTTACTCGATTTCTAAAAACTAAACTAGCAACACAACAAAAAAGTTTAAAAAATCCAAGCTTAAAAATGTAAGTAATAAAAAAAAATGGCATTTTCAAAATTTGTGCATAAATACCGTAACATGCTTTGAACCAATCAATTGTTTATTTTTGTACTGCATGGTAAACTGGAATTTAAGCTGAAGATGGGAATAGAACAAATATGACAAGTTTCTTTTGGTGAAAAAAGTTGGGTTATTCCATAAGGTAGGCCCATTTGTTGAAAACCGAAATATGAGCATTTCCCCTAGGTGTAAATCTTGCAAACGTTATTCACCAACACAAATGTTTTTGGCAAACCTACAATTTGTAAAACTGGTAGATCCAGGGGAGTTTCTAAGGATTTGTCATCTGAAGTCTGAAGAGTATAAGATAAGAAGGCAGTCAAATAAAATTCAAGAAAGTTCTTAAATAAAATGCGGAATAAGTAGAAAAAAAAGAGAAAAACCCAGTGTAAATAATGCACTTCAGTACCAAGATAAAAGGAACATTAGATAATAATGTGTCAGTAACTTGCAAATACTAAGAATAAATTCAGCTCTAAACAATTTCGTCTTGACTTAACCATGATGCAAACATTGATATACTTGGTCATTCCTGCTGGCAGAGACTGATATTCTCATTTTATGACTATGGAGGGCGCTGTAATGTAATCGCTCGAAATGGGAATTTAGATTGTACTGATAAACATGAATCTTTATGTACCGGTATAAGTGAATTAATATGTCTTGATAAATACACATGTATGATCTCAATGTCAATGTGACTCGGGTTAATCCAGTGCTACAGCCTTCAAGTATAATGTAAGCTAATTAGCCAACTGATCCAAGACTACAGCCATCAATTAGGTCAATTGGTCGATGGGTCCAGTGCTACAGCTATCAAGTACATGTATAAATTAGGCTAATAGGCTGGCAAATTCATTGCTACAGGTTCTTTTCATTAGGATTCATGGTTGAGTCATTCACAAAAGCCACTGTCAGTCATATTCATTATATTTCTTGCATGATCCATGCACTTTATCAGCAGGATACTTTTTATGATTCAATCCAATCTTTTCGACTGTTGCTGATGGTAAATCTATGTGACATTTCTCTGACAGTCTAACTAAATATATGAGAACATCGCTCAATTCCTGGGAAAGGTTTTCCTTTTCTTTTTCGGTCCAATCTGCAAAAAAAAATTGACAAAATATTTGCAAGAAAATATATATTGAAAAAATAAAACTGAAATTATGAGATTACTGACAGATCTGAGTTGGATATTTGCAAATGGAAAAATAAAATGTCAATTAAAATACACAGCAAAAACTATGAATTCAGCAGTTCCAGACAGCATTTTGATTAATTACTTGACCTATGAGTTCAAAGGACAATGGATGGTCAAAGAAGCCAAAGCCTATGTGACATCTGTACTGTACATTTGTTTGGGCACAAACAATATAGCATGTGCCAGAAAGAATCCTGTGACTGAAAGCAAATGCTCTCACAGTTCAAGATGTTTTTCTTTGCCATTTCAAGTTACCTTCTCATTTAATTATTATTGCAAGCAGAAAAACATGTATATAGGTTACCATGAGAATATTGCAAAGTATGTAGCCGGGCAGTACAAGGTCAAATCAGTCGCTACTGATAAGATACATGTAGTTGTACTGCCTTCATGCATACTTTGCTGTATTCTTGTAATAACCTCAAGTAGCTACATTCATCTTTTGCCCAACCAAAAAAGTTAGAGTTTCCTTAGTTACAGAATAACAGCCACCATGGAAATATTACTCACCAGGAAGACCATCTTTCACTTCACCTTTCCACTGACTGGAGGCAAAATAAAGTTATGAAATGTTCAATATTGTGAAAAAACCTTAATTCTCACAAAATAACATCTAAAGCAGGAAACTTCATTTCATGTCGCAAAGAACGTGCAAACCAAAATGTATTATTTTTGTCTGAATTGTCATTGTTCAATATGCAATTCATTATTTCAATTCTTTTGATATAATTTCAGTGAAAATATGATCCCCTGTATACTGCATTTAAACGTACATCCTTGCCAAATATATCACAAAATCATGAAATTAAACAAATTGTTTTGCTTTGAATGATTACTCAATGAATGTATTTCAAAAGATACTTACAAAAGTTCTGCTACCTCACCAACTTCACCTACCTAGAACACAATCAGAGATACTAGTTGCAATCACTGTACATAATCCACATCCAATACTCAACAAATGTTTAGTTATATACATGTACATACACATAAAAAAATATTTCCCTTTTCTGATTTCAAGTTTTAACAACTTAACAGTAAGACTATAATCATACAGTGCTCATCTGATTTGAATACAGGCTGACACACTATTAGACACATCTGCCATTCTCAAAATCATTACTTGACAATTCTGCATAGACATGTAACTATGAGCTTCAATTGCCACAGCTATTGATTCATTAGCTCAAACCAATCTTTAAGTGCTATTGTCATTGTATTTCATAAACAAAGGCCAACATATTTCAGGAAGCGATTTATTCAAGTCGGTAAAACAATGATTAGTAAATATCTGTTGTAAAATAGTAGTGTTCATGCTACAAGAAGTATGGCTAAGATTAAAGCAGATATTTGCATTTTGGCGCAATTGGGTCCACACACTGGGAGGGCCAGTCCTTAGCACGTTCTAATTTTGAAGCGACGTGCACAGGATCGCGAGACAAGACGTACCCAAATTATTTGGATGCACAGAAATCAACAACGTTTTTGTTTACTTTTCACAACTGCTTGCCGATCACTGAACAGTACAACATGTAGCCGGTACATAGTGTTTACACACTTTTTTTACCATACCATTTTTACCATTAAAAACTATTAATTTTTCTATAAGGCATGTGGTGAACCCTTACACTGTAAATAAGATGTAACATTATGGGCAACGACCATTGGGATTTGCGCTTTTCGACCAACCAACCAATGGAAATCGTGATCTTCGCAGAGTGACACTGTGACCCTTTCGCAGAGTGCAATAATCTACATTCGGCGAGTTTTTTTTTGACCCCCTTAAATACATGCATGGTGGGTGCTGCTGCTTAACTTAATATTGAGAGACAACAGAAATTTGTACTGTGGTTAAATCTAATTGATCACCACTACATATGAATCCATCGTCAAGTTTTTACTACATATTTATCAACTTGACAAACAGTAAGATAAAGGACTGTAATATTTCTGTGGGGGATGACATGTTTTTCTATCAACTTATTATTTAGTAACTTGACAAATGGGACTAACAACTAAGGGAGGTGTGATCAAAATAGAACCAGAGGTATCCCAGACTCTACGAGGAGCTCTTGCAGAATATACAAATTCATGCAAGAACATTCATGAGCTGACAGTTTACAGCGAAGTCTCTTTTTCACAAGTAGACTAGACTGATTGTTTTACTCCAAAAGAAGGTAAATTGCTGTAAAATAAACGTAGAATTTAAACGTAATTAAAACAATCCTGAGCACACGTTTATTATACATGTAGTTTGTATATTTTGTTTCAAGGTAGCAAGGTTTCTGTGTTATCTATCTCTTGGCATCATGTAAATAATGTGTTTGTTTATTCCTCAAAAAAAGTCACAAAATTTCGGGTAATAAAAAGGTTGATTTGTTGATGTAATACATCAGAATACTTGCAATATATCTTGCACTGATTCAAGTAAAAGCAATTATTTTTCAATAGAAACAAAATATAGTAGATCGCACTGAAATAAAAACACATACTTTGTTGACAAAACAGAACTACATGTATGTGTATGCATTTCTGTTGAATCTAGATCAGAAGTTCAAACTGTGTGAATATAATAGTCACAAGATGTCTTCATGACTTGGATGCACTGGCTACCTTTTCACCACCATTTCCCTATTTCGCAATTCACAAAAAATTCCTGTTAGAGTAAAAACTAAAAATTGACTCAAATTTCGTTTGTGGGCACCAAAATAAAAGTTCATTTCCAGAAATATTGAAGATAAGAAAAATAAGAGTAAAGTGCAGAAAAATTTGGGCGATAAAAGTCTGGTGGTGAAAAGGTTAAAACTCCAAACCAATTTTTTTTTATTCAAATACAGACACCTGTTAGTTACTTTTTCTATAAATTGACAATTTGAACCAGTTCATATTCTGAGAGAACAAATGACATTTTCTGACTGAGTTCATTAAAAGCTAATAGCGAAATCCCCAGAGCTCTTAGGATACCAGGCCAGAAACTGCTGGTTTGATTTTGATCACCACCCGAAAGTAATAAACTTTATTTCAAAATAATTTTTAGTTTTACAAGATTTGTTGTTCATATACATGTGGCCAAATAAAAAGTAATTCACTGTTGGTGAAAATTTAATGGTTAGCAGAAGCTTGTTTACAATACAACATACAAGGATTGATGAAACATTTTGTTGTATATAAACAATATTACAAACAGTGGGTTCATACAAAAAAACAAATAAAACATACCATTGCAAGTAGTAAATTTCTTGGCGAATGAAACTTGTCAAAGTCTCTTTCTTTAGAAAAGTTGTTCTGCATTACCCGTCTGAAATACAGTAAATATAAATTAAAGATGTATTTTTTTTGGCACATGTAAATCCCTAGGTACATCTTATTAATCTAAAACTATTTAGAGCTATATTTTAAATGGAACATACTTAAAACATTTGTCAAAATCGACATCTCGTATTGTTATGACTAAATATTCATATTTGCATGGATTTTTAATAAATCAGCAAATATGATCATTTAATCGAGACAATGTAGAAACACCACTATCAATATGCAATTTAGTGTATCTTTGCTCAAATTCTTATATTAAAATACTCAAATGAGTAGTACTTAGCGAGCATCCTTCAGATTGGACAAGACACTGCGTGTTGACCCATCCTTTAAAATATGCACATAATGTAAATGCTATTATCAAACATCGATTATCAGAATAGTAGCTTAGAAAAAGTAATCACTTAAAGTGCCTGTGAAATGGCTGCTATTTTCACGTCTAAAATTATCAATTGATACATAAATATTATTAATTTTTATGTTTCTAAGCATAAATTATTTTTTTTAAGTGAAAAAATGCGTTTTAAACTCTGTCTACAGCAACTTTATTTTTTGTATTTTAAAACGAGGCTCCTCATTAGCTATTCATTTCCATACAGAAATTCCCCTTGTGACGTCAGAAAGGGAAGTTGCTGGGCAGCTCGCATTGTCGATACGTGTAAATAAGGCAAATTTCTTGTGCAGTTTTCTCGTCTTTGACTAAATTGTCACTTATGTACTTTTTCATCGAGGAAGAACGGGCCATAATGAACACTTGGATATCAAATTTGTTGCATGGGGTTGAGTTAGATGCGAGATATGTCCGTTCTGGTGTGGCTGGTCGCAGTGATGTCACCGTCCCCGGCGCACGTTTGTAAACTATCGCTGAACCTCGGCACTGGACAACTTTCGAGTCAGCAAGAAGTTCTAGTTTTTTTTGTTCTAGTTGAGCTTACTACTTTTTATAAAATATCTTATCGATAACTTCCAAGAGGTATGTGTGAACTCTTTATTATGCTCGATA